GACCCCATCGAAAAAGATCCTTCAATGGGGGTTCCTGTCAAGTCCCCTTCGTACGATAGGGCCCCAGATTAGGGGATCTACTTTCTAGATCCTCCCGGGGGTCTGGGATATTACATAACCCAGTAACCCATTCTTTAACCTTGGGCTCCAGCTTCCTACATAGTAGGTTGCTGGGGTACATAGTATATGGTTTGTGACATACTAACTGGACTCCATTGCCAGTAAATGCTGACATCGCAACTTGTCTTGCTACCACCACAGCACCCACGCCAGTTCTCCTACTTGTCGGGCATCATGGGAACTAAAGGTTAACCTTTTTGGTTATATAGGGGTTATATAGGGATTATATAGGGACTATACTATACCACCCAAAAAAAGTTAAATGTTACCTACTCTACTACTAGGTGCTGCTTTTTTGGTATGTACAGCTCTGGGGTCTGAACCCCTAGTCCCAAGCCCTACTCATAGGCTCCATACTGCTGATGGACAAAATCCTGCATGACCCTAAGGAGGCTAAACTATGGGAACTATGGTATATTCCTTACAATGGGTCATGCAGGATTTACTGTATATCATCAGCCGTAGTAGTTCCTTTTGGAGGTTACCTTACAGGACTGAGTATGAACCACAAAAAGGAACTACTATGGAGCCTCCAGGCATACCCTAAGCCCCCTAAGCAACTCCTATAAGTTCTTACATGTCTCGTTCGAAGTGCATCACCAACTCGACATTGAGGTATAACATACGCTGAGCTTAGGTTTGTTGGGGTGGCCTTTGGAGTTTAGGTTTTCAGGATTCAAGGCCGTGAGATCAAGGTCTAAAGTCTAAAGCTTAGGTTTTAGGTTCATAAGCCCCGAAACCCTATCCCCACCCAGATTTGCACCCCAATAGGTGCACCAGAAAAGAAGCCGAGCCACGGCGGTGGCCACAACGGCCGCCCAGCTGACGTCCTCTGGCAGATACTATGGGGGCCTTACTATACTGAACTTAGAACCCTAGCAAAAACTGTAATTTTAGCTGCTTCTTAGGGATTATAATAACCATCTAAGTACCCCTAAGTAACAATTAGAAGGGGATTTTGGGAGCCCATTATACTATAATTATAGTAAAGAACCCCCTCCCCAGTAGTATAGGTCATGGTTGAGGCCCCTATATTAACTCGCGACCCAAGCCCACCAAATTCCGCTTGATCACGGAATATACTCCTTAATTATATAGGCCCTTGCCGGGGCCAATTAAGCTAAAGTGAGCGAGCTAAGAGGGATATGGAATTTTGTGAGGAAGTGTTCGGGACTTCTAATTGTGCAGCTTGAAGCCCAAAATCCTGAAGCTAACGAGTCTGACCTTGAACTCCCTCAGCCGCAAATCTGTCACAAGATCGTCTCAAACTCCGTGAAACTTAAACCGCCCAACCCCTTAAACCCAGAACCCTTAACAATTAGCGTCGAGCACTCACTTGAATGAAATGTCGGCAGAGATTGCAAGGCCTATAGCTCGCAAACAAGGTGCTCCATGGTATAGGGTTTATGAATATGACTATGATTCCCGGAATTTGTGACCTGCACGGCCTTAGTGATAGAATGTGGGTGCTGCATGAGCAAAGGATGCGACAACAGAGACAGTTTCTTGGAGTCGAGTCTAGACCCTAAGGCTCCATGTGCCCATATAGTATATACTTAGGGCTTAAAGTACCTACATAGGGACCCCTTTAAGGCCTAGGTATCTACTATACTGGTACTTTCCTGTCAGCAACAGCTGCACATCTGGGTGGTTGTCAAAATTAGGGTCCCTTTGTCGGCCCTTATTTCAATAAGGCACCTAATACTTAGGGCACCCAAAAAAGAACCATAATTTTGACAACTACCCAAATGAGTTGTAAATCTGAAGGTTTCCAAAGGCTTTCCCATCCCATGCGCCTTGGTCAAAAACGGTGACCTCCGAGGGTAGGGTGCTTCGGTTGATGATATAAATTCTGAATTACCCATAATAAGGAATATACCATAATTCGCATAGTTTAGGGTCCTTATAAGGTAATGCAGGATTTATAACATCAACCGTTAGTGGGCATCAGGTTTGGCTCCCAGGAATTCTGAGGACCTCTGCTTCAGTGTTAGGAATCTGGGGTTTAGGGTTTAGAGATCTGGGAGAATCTAAGGACTGGGGACACCAACGACGAAGAAGCCCTCGGAGTGTCTGTGACATACCATCTATGACAAGATTACGTAAACCCCGCGGCAACACGCTGTTGCGAAAATGCGCCTAAAATGTATGTTACACTTGTCACTGCTCAAGCAAATCCTGCCGCTGCAAACATCGGAATCATGCCGAGCGATTCGCGAAACAAAACCAGGCAAGCTAGCAACTACAGTTTCGCTCAGAAACTATCAACACTTGCTCCTCCCGTTTCGATCGTCATAGTCCCAGCCCCACTGCAATTACAAGATCGTCGGCAAGTTGCACATCGTCGCACATCGCGCCGGCATAATCATCACCAGAACCGGCATCATACAATGAGGCATATTCTCCTGCCAAACACAAGCATCACCAGGCCATGTCCACGTGTGTCCACCATGAGCTGCGCCAGCATTCCACCCAATGCCGTCAGAGTGGTGATCATCACCTTCACAGATAGTGCCACCACATCCAGCACCGTCGCCCATACTACCACCATCGTCATCATGATAACTCTCACCATGATCATGCTCATAACTAACTCTCATCATGGCCATCATCACCCTCGTCACCGCCAGCCTCAAGCACCCTCAATGTTGCCACAACCTCAAACACCATCACTACCTTCATCCTCCTCGTCCTCCAGCGCCTCTGCCCCATCACCAGCATAATCAGAAACATCATCGAACCAGCTCGGTCGTCTGCTCTCTCACGAGTCTCACGCACTCCGCCACCTGCCAGCCACGATACCGCATGCTCGCACACTCAATCCTGAACCCGAACCCGTGCCCCAGAACTTCTCTACAACACTCCCCGAATCCTTGCTCGCAGTATCTGGCAATGCTTGGTTTTGGGTTTGGGCTCAGCGGTCCGGGCCTGACGAGGGGTTAATCACTAAGGTACTACTGATACCCTAGACCCAAGTTACCGTAGTAGTAGGTCACAAACCACATATTATGTACCCCAGTAACCTACTGTTTAGGTAGCTGGGGACCGGTAGAGGTTATGTGGACCCCAAATAATTATCCTACCTTGTTAAGGACTCATATATGGAAGCAAGGAACCCGTAAAGGCCCCACAGCCCCACTTATCACTACCCTAAACCTAAATCCTATAGATCCTTTAAAGGAGCCCTTAAAGGAACCCCTATAATCCACGAGGCCTGAGCCGATTTGTTGCGGCACAATGTCGAGGCGCAAACGGCGCCGCTGATGCCGCCGCCGATGATGGCCACACGCTTTGCATCCGCCATAGTAATAGTAATTACCTAGATAGTAGGATCCTTACTATAAGGACCCCCAAAGTAAGATACCCTATTATTGCACCCTGCACCTGCCATGGGTCGGGTGGGGATTACGGTCTCGTGTTTTTTGGTATAAGGCTCCTCCCGCGTCCTTTCGATCTAGCTTAGGCTGGGGATGCTGGAATGATAATGTAAAGTCGGCGCCACAGTTTAAACGTCTCTGCTTTGGCACAGGCAAGAAAACTAGTTTGTTTTTGCATGTCCGCATGCATAAAGGTATTTGCAGGCTTGTCTGCCGCCAGGTCCTGCTAAGCAGACATAAGACAATCCAGGTGGAACATGCTAGTCGCACAGCTGCATACATGCAAGCAAATGTGCCCTCACCTGCCCGCAATTGTGTCTCCAACGTCTGATCGTCAGGCTTCTTGTGCAACGCCAACTCTGATGCTCAAAGCTGGATCAGCGGCTTGAGCCGACAAGCTTCTATACATCCACGTTGCGCCTGGAGCTTCTATGGGAATCGCATCGTTCCTGGCCGGACCTGTTTAGCATTCGTGTGCAGGCCTTCTTGCTTCCATATTCCAGGAGAAAGAAGAGCTAGTTATGGCTTACGATGCCGTGCTTCCCTCCACTGTAGGGGAGGCTGATTCAAACGTGTGGGGCTTATGGGCTACTCGCACTCGGGAGGTTGAGGCAATATCTGGACCACCAAAAACACTTAACCTTTTAAGGACTGATACGGAAATCATACAAAGCAGTCATGAAACGATGGGATGTTCAGGGTTCAAGCACTAAGGATTTAGGATTCGCACGTGCGATACGAAACTCCAAACTTGGATCCTGATCCCAGGTCTCCTGAAATCGCAAAATGCGCGTGAAACCTGAAAACATACAATTCCTGGATGGTTGTCAAAATTAGGGTCCCTGTGGGGTACCCTAAATATTAGGCGCCGTATTATAATTAAACGAGGTATTGGCCCGCGTATGACAACAAATAAGCAAACCGTGGTAGAATGCCGTATAGCAGAGTATTGTTGGAGCAGACGGTATAAGAATACCGTACCTAAGCAATACAGCAAAACGCAGGCCATAGAAGTCCACTTGCCGGGAGTTTAGGGCTTGGGGGTTTGGGGTTTACGGCTTGCCTATGTAATTGGTTCAGAAGTTCAAATGCTACAGGATGCCAGGGCACTTTCTGCAACGACGAATGCAAGTATGGGGTTCGGATTTTCGCTTTGCTACTATCGAACTCCGCAGAATGGAATCCGCTGAGCTTAAGCTGCTAAAAACGAATCACCCAGACCATGAAGTTTGAGAACCCCCAACGGTTAACGTGTAGTGTTTACAGTGTTTACAGGGTTTACGGTCCCAGACCATGAAGTCTCAAATCCAACAATTTCTAGCCAGCCTTATGCCACAATCTCGTCTGAGACACACACACACACACACACTCACACACTCACACACACACACACACACGCACACGCAAACCCAAAAACCTAACGTACGGCTACTGAGCGAAACTTCTAAGGCTTATGGGGATTGGGATTGAAGGACTTGGTCTTGGTGCAACAGACTCGTGCGCCTCCTCCCAATGACTCTGTCGGGACCAGCCGCAGATAAGCGCATTGCCTGAGCGGCTGAGTATTTAATTTGGCCCCGAACTACTGAGTGGCCTGACTGACTCGGAAGGCAACTTTGACTGCAGGTCACGGAAGGTCCAGTAAACCCAAAATTCGGCTGTTATCCAGCTCAAGGCAGAAAGGCTTAGGGATTACCTGAGCCCTGGATTAACATACCTGCTTAGGGCACCTTTCTATGACTTCTTCATCTAAGCTCGTGAAAAGTTTAAAGGCTTGGTTATGTGGGGTGAAGGTAGGCCTGAAGGATGCTAGGGTCGGATATCGGGGCTTAGTTCGCAAAGCCAGTCTTTCAAAGGGGAAAAGGAGGGACCCTTAATAAAGACCCCTACCCTATAATGGGCTATATAATGGGTATATAATGGCTAGATTAAGGGTCTATACCTAAGGGTCCTTGTTATGGGTCCCTCCTTTTACCCTTGGAGTCTTGCTGCCACGCTTCAGTGCAGCACGTCAATTTCGATGCGCTGGCTCCGGAGAGATCGAAGTCTTCGCTCGCCACGGATGGGAAGTGACTCCTCGTTGGTTTAGGGTTTAGGGTTCCCAAAGGCTCCATGTACCCATATAGTAGGTACTTAGGCCTTAAAGTACCCATATAGGGACCCCTTTAAGGCCTAAGAACCTACTATATGGGTACATGGAGCCTTTGGGGTTGGCATGGGCCAAGAAGCGTCTCAACAAACTGAATTTCTGAACCCCCAAAGCCCGATCCCATCCCTATAAGCATCCACAACCTGGTAATCTCCGGGATGCTCCAATTATGAATTTTTGAAGCCCAAATATTTATGTTGATTAATGAGGAGGTGGTCGTGCTGGGTTTAGAGAGAGCTGCAAAAACCTCGGGCATGGGACGCAGGGCCTGATGGGGACGTAATTCAGTTGCTAAATGCCGCTGTAACATAGTTACATCTCCGTATGTCCCATAGCTGGTTCAAGCAACGGTCTGCAGAACCTGCCTGTACTAAGGTTTCCGACTGGTCTGGTTCAGACCCTTCAGTATTTATGGTCCCGGATTGTGGTATGCTTGCTGTTCAAAACTTAATAGTTCCTCTTCAGCTCCAGAAAGGAAACCAGAGAACCCAATACCCCTTAATTAAGGAATATACCTTAAAACATAATAATAAGGCCTCTATCATTTAAGGTATATTCCTGAATTAAGAGGTATTGGGTTCTCTGGGAAACAAAGCGCAAAGGCCTCTCCACAGCGGCGCAGCAGCGACGTCGCATGCTTTGGCGACAGCGCCATCCGCTCTCAGCCAGCACCGTGATTCAGTGATTGGCGATCGTTGACAGCTGTCTCGAGTCTGGTCTGTTTCCCTTAGGAACAGACAAACCCCAAAACCCAAAACTGTCTGCAATCTTCTGAGCACTCAGAACATGTGCCAAGGCTTGTCCTTGAGGCCTCTCATCTGTCGGGGGCTCCATGACGTTCGCAGCTTTGGGACTAGAGTTCTCCAGTGGAGGGTCTCGTGACCTCTTGTGTCTAAGGCTTTCGGGTTCTGAGGGTTTGGAGTTTAAGGCTTAGGTTTTCATGGCTGGGGTTTAGATCCTATAGAGTGGCAGTAAGGCCATACTGCAACTGGCTGCATTCACAAGTCTGCGGGCGCAGTTTCAGTGCCATCCATGGCTTACATTAGGTTCCCACGCGATGAACAGGAGCAATTTAGGAACACAGAAAGACCCACATTCATGCGGTTCCCTTGTGCATTACCTAGAGTATCCTGGAGGGAGGGATCCCTGGAACCAAAGGAAGTTGTGCGGTTCAGTTTTCAGAAGACCGGCACTGTTTGGGATGTAGGGTTTGCGGGCACACTAGCATGGTCCCAACTACACCGGGAATGTGGTTGCCAGGTTATGCCAGAACGCAAACGTAAGTTAATCACCTGATAAGAATTCCTACTCAGCTAAGAAAGAGCCCATGCCAACCCTGCCTTAAGATTTATGGCAGTTTATGGAGATGGTCACAAGTACATGGGCTGAGTAACTGATGAACGAGGTCTAGTTACCCTAACGAGAGCTCTGCAACTAGTCAACAAATTTACCCTCTACCCCTACCGAGGGGCCCCATAGCAGTTCCTTGTTGTGGTTCATATTCAGAATCCTAGATGATAACCCCTAACAGGAACCACCAGTATGGAGCCTTTGGATAAACCGTCAACCATGCTTTCAGAGTCTTTCAGCGCCCGCTCGTCGCTGTTTGTTCTCGGCTCGGGGAGTACTGGGAACTTCCTTGGAGGCCGAGGGGCGTGCTTGGGTATTCCTGCCATGGCGTTTCGAGACAAAGCCACTACTATGGCGGTTTAGGGTTTAGAGCTTAGGTTTGTTGGCTCTTTTTCTGACACCATCATGACTGAGTTGATTTTTTCTTGGCAGGCAGGAGCTTGGTTGGGTTCAGCAGCCTTTCAACGTGGATGTTGAGGGAGAAATGTTGGTCCAGTGGGGCTCCACACATTCTAGATCCTTGATTGCTTAAGGCCCTATAATGTTGCACGGGCCCTATACCATAAATTAGGGTTTAGGGCTTCAATAGCCTTTCTCGGCGCAGGTCTGGATGGGACTGTTATTGCACGGTCACCGCTATGGTTAGAAACTACGACAGGTTTCTACAGCTCGCCCCGACCCTGCTACCACATCTCTGCCTTAGGAAATTTCCCCAGAAATCTGTACTCTAAAAAAACAGACACAGACTAGCAAAATGTTACTAAACCCTAAACATCCCTAAAATGTAGGAAATGCGCTATCTCGAAACCTTGAGAAGCCGAGGCCTGGCTGTCCAAGCATGCTGCGTGCTTCTGTTCCCTGTACATTCCACGATTTTTAACTGACGGGGGACTGCCCGACAAGTCTTATTCCGGTCCCCCTAAACGCTACACCTGCTTCTGCTCCTGAAGGCTCCAGCCGAAGTCGCTGCTTGAAGAATTAAGTGTGGCTCCTCGTTTGAGATGGGATGGGAACCGTAGATTCAATTTCAAACAACAGCAGAGGCCGACAGTTCTCACCCAAGCTCGTTTGGATGAGAATGCTGCCTGAGCCTGAAAAATGTCGCTTAACCCCAAACGCTAAACTCCAAACCCTCAGATTGCCTATGCCCGAGATGCACCGGCCGGAAAGAATCACCTGCATCCCCTCTGTTGGCTGCCAAGTCGCGATTCCATCAGATCTTGAAAAGCAGAAACCACCTGCACAAACGAAGCAAGCTGCTAATATAGGGGCCTTAATAATCAGAATAGGGTTTTGGGGGGTATATTATACTAAAATCATATTTTTATAAGGAACCTCACAATAGTATAGGTAATTATTAAAGCCCCTGTATTACTCAAGCACCCTGCACTCTGTCTGCACGCACATTGCACCTAAGCCCGGGACCAGGGCTACTTTTCTTCGGTTCTGAACCCTACACCCAGAAGTAGAAAGCTAAGTACGTTCAACCCAAGATCTGACTGGATAAACCTAACCCTAAGGGTCCATGTACCCATGAAGTCTATACTTTGGCTCTAAAGTACCTACATGGGGACTACTTTAAGATGTCTATACATACCGGCACATGGACCCTTAGTGTGATCAAATCCCTGAAGCCAAGCCTATGAGGCAAGTCTCTCGGCAGAAAGCATGGGAGGGACTCCTGCTTGTCGGGTATCAAGGGGAACTAAGGGTTAACCTTTTGGGTTCTACAGGGATTATATGGGGACTATACTTTGGGTACGGCCCCCATACAGTAACAGTCTATAATAGGGCTACTATTAAGGGCCTTATATATCTATATTATGAATATTATCCAACTGTTACTGAGTGGGGGCCGTACCCAAACTATACTGCCCAAAAAAGGTTAAAGGTTGCCTACTCTACTACTAAGGACTTTAAAAGCTCTTGCGATATCAGATTGTCGAGTCCCAGAGCCTGGTCTGATTTCTTTGCAATCTCTACAGTAGAAGCCCAAAAGTTGGACACCCCATGGCCTCAATCCTTAAGAGTAATGTATAAGGAATCCCAGCACTATTTGGCCTTACTCCGGTTTCCAACTTTATGGGGCTTACTGTAAGGTCTCACAGCTTGGGATTGCTTGCGGGGAAAACCTCTTGGAGTGCGTTTCGTGTAGTAGGAATCAAAATACTGCACTATCTCACTGGCCATGGGGTGACGGCAAGAGCAGTCCCTTTTCTTCACGTGGCGCAAACTATTGACAAACACAAATTCGCAAATATCAATAGCATGGAGGGCCTGGACTCCCCCACCCAATGCCACTGCCCCCCACTGCACTGTAGGTCCCAAAACCCCTAAACCCTGGACCCTAAGTTTAGCCCGGATACCTCGTCTACATGCTCTCGGCTGTGTCGAAGGTCGCTAATGTCCATGTCGCCGTAGCCCGCGCGGTGGGCCAGCTCCTGCACTTGTAGGAACAGCCGGCTTGGGTTGCAAGGGTTGGATCCGCTTAATCATCAAAACTTATAATGGTTGTGACCGGACTCTTGCAGCGGATTTAGGGCAAATGTTGGACTGAGGACCAGGGCAAGTTTAAGAGTGAAGAGCTCACCGGCTTGGAGTTCCGTCTTGCTTGCGGGTAGGAGCCGAAGCCAGGCTGGACACAACATAGGCCTGACTGCGAACAATATGGGAGTTTTCGAAAATTAGGGGAACCTTATGTTACGGCCATAATAATAAGGCTCGTACTATTTGGGATCCTAAATTAGGGTCCCCTATTTTTGGAGAGGCTGCAGTTCCGGGCCAGGGGAAACTACGGTATGGTATTAAGGAACCCGCACAATAGTATTGGTAGTTATTTAAGCCCCTATAGTATGGGTGGGCTTTCAAAGGTCAAGTGTCAGTTTGCCTATCAACCTTGACCGTTTGAGGCTAGTGCTGCTGGCTGCACAGGAACATGCTGCCATCTGATTTTACCTGGAGCTACAAAGTTCACTCGGCGAAACAACAATGTGTTTACGGTGCATTCAGCCTGCGAAAATACCTGTAGTCCGACAAAAACTCGGCCTACAATCTACAAGATGTCCACTCCTAAGGACCAGCAGTCGGACACCCCGGGAAGAACCAAGCCCGAATCCGTGAAACCCCAAAACCATGCCTCCAGCTTGTGCGTGGCATCTGGGGCAGTCTCGAAATTCTTCTCGGCCTGACTGCTATCTCAACCCTAAACCCCAACTAACTTCTGGGCCTCAAAGGTAGAGTCAAGTTTGGGGCTCAGATCTAATGTATAGTAGAAGATTGCCCTAAGCCCTAAACAATGAACGCCAAACCCTGAACCCTGAACTTTAAACCCGTTTGCACAAGTTGACTCGCACTTTGCTCACATCTGCTGCATAAGGCCGTTTAGCGAACGACATTACAATGCAATATTATCTATAGTCTAAGTTGTAGTTCCTTTTTGGGTTAGCCAATTTTATGATTAAGATCCTGTAATAAAAAGTTGGCCAACCAGGAAAAAGGAACTACAATGGAGACTATAGGTACCCCCAAAGTAACATCAAGAGTACGTGCACTGCAGTTTTGAAGAAGCCCTAAATACACTCACCCAACGGGCGAAATCATTTCGATAACATATGACGAAATGCTCAAGCTTCTGTGTGCTATCTCCTGTATGAGCAGAGCATTCTGAGCACTAAAAATGTCATCGATTTGAGCTCAGGCTGAAAAATGGGCGTGCCTTCTACATCGTGCTGTTAAACCCTTAACCGAAGCCCTAAACGACCTTGAAACCCTAAACCCGAAATCCCTAAACTCTAAACCCAAAACCCTAAACCCAAAAATTCTAAACCCCACAACTCCAAAACCCTTAACCCTGGAGCTGCTTGGATGGTAGTTGCTGCCGTCCAAGCTGCCACCGAGTTGATCGACACAATGCCTGCGTGGCGAAGCCAGGCTTTACAGGGTTTCTGGCGAGAGTTTAGGGCGTAGAGGTGCGGTTTGAGGGTTTAGGTTTCGATGAGAGTCTTACGGAGTATTTCAGGCTTCCAGAAGAAATCTGCACAGAATTTGCATCTCCAGAAAAAATCATGTTCGAAACTGCTGTGGGCCAGCTCTTGGGCTGCTGTTCATGAAGCTCTTGGGGTTCTTAACTGCTGAGTTCGTTTCTTACCATGCCACCCCTGAACCCTGAACCCCCCCAGTGTTGTATCCCGGTATATTCTGCATTCGGGCCACTGTTTAGATTGTTATATACCAAAAACTACCCAAAGGCTCCATAGTAGTTCCTTATTGCGGGTACCTTACTGGATTCCAAATATTAACCACAAA